GAATGACACACAGGAAACGGTGTTGGTCAGACCCAAAGACAGGCGTGGGCAGTGAGGACTCTCACCTTCAGACTCACTGTCTAATCAGTCTGACAGTGAGTCTGAAGACAGAGCAACCCAACACACGTTACTATGTTCATCATCATCATCATTGTTTATTTATATAGCACTTTAAAAACACACAAGGCTGACCAAACTGCTGAACAATAGAAACATAATAGATACCATAAGAATAATAAATACGATACAATAATAAACATAGCGAAAAACAATAAAATACAAGTCAGTCAACCACTGAGTCAAAAGCCAGTGAATAAAAATGCTTTTTCAATCTGGATTTAAAAACCAGCACTGATGTCGATTGCCTAATGTGAAGAGGAAGATTATTCCAAAGCTTAGGAGCCACGATAGAGAACGCTCGGTCTCCTCTCAGTTTCAGCCGTGATTTGGGGACTGAGAGCAACAGCTGCTCAGCTGACCGGAGCGAACGAGTGGGGACATAGGGCTTCAGCAGGTGCCAGACCATTTAAAGATTTAAAAACCAATAAAAGAACTTGAAAATGAATCCTAAATTCAATTGGAAGCCAGTGCAGGGAGGCCAAGAGTGATGTTATCACTAAGCAGGACATTAAATCAAATTAATGAGACACCAAAACAAGAGCTGGAGCCCAAGACAGCCATGAAGTCACAGTGTACACAAATACACAAGAAACACAGAAACCAGCTGGGTGGATGTGGCTCGGGAACCTTCTGTTACCTTGAACGTCGGTGTTTTGAACGCTGGCTGCTCCAGTCTGCTTGTATTTGTCCAAGATTTCCCCTCATATCTTGGTTATGGTTATTTTTTCTTTTATTAAACTGATCACACTCCTGTTCATGAATAGAAAAAAACCCCATCAGTGTATTTTCACTTAAACAAGCAGCTGTTTTTTTTGCATTAAAGTTATATAAAAATGTAACAGTGCAAATTCCTCGCTGACAGTTTAACCAAAAGGCATTTCCAGTGGAAAGTAGCCGACATATCTCAGCATAACCATGTATAATATCCACAAAACCTGAGAAGGTTGGAGAGAAGGTAGGCGAACTCTGCTGGGATCTGCGTTTAACAAAGTGTCTAAAGACGAAACAAAGAAATCTTTCTGTAAATGTTCAGATGCACAGACTGGACTGAAAAAGAGTGAAAAAGCAGCTAACGTCCAAAAATAAGAAAACTTTGAAAGAACTCCAAAAAAACCTGGAGAACTTTTGCTCAAAAAACAGTTTTGTTTTTTTTAAATTACAAGGCAATCTGACAAAATGTCATCAAATGAGACTCAAGACTTCTGCAGGTCTCTGCCATGACTCAATTTTTTTTTCTTAACGGCAGAAACAATTGTTCCTTTTTTACTTTGTTTCTATTTTCTCTTCTTGTTTTTATCTGTTGAACAACAAACAACATTCATGCTGATTCACATAATATCCTGTCTCTATCTCTGGGATTTCCTCGTAGCTCTTTGATGCAAAGAACATCCATCAAACGCTCCAGCTTGTGCTCAACATCATCGTGAACGGTGAAGGTACTCTGACGAGAAAATACTCAGTCGACCTTTTGGTTGATTTGTTAAAGAACCCCAAAATAGCTGATTACCTAACAAGGTATGCAGATAATTCACAGCTCTTTTCCTGAATAGCTGCTTTAAAACTCTGCTGAAAGCCTTTGTCCATTTCCAGGTATCCCCACTTCTCGGCATGTGTGTCTCAAGTGTTAGGACTGCTGCATTGGAAAGACCCAGACCCTGCAGCCAAGGTGAGAGACGACAAATATGATAACCCACACCAGCTGTGCTTAACTCTGTAAGTTCCCAGTATTCCCTGAAACCATCACGTGTGACACAGTTTACATCAGACGTGATGCAGCTGACGTCAACACTGACCTTCTTGTGGTAACAGAGACTTAAAAAAATAATAATAAAGCAACAAAGTGGGTCGCTCTTTGACAGTAAATTCCAGTGCGGTCCGCTCCAATCTCCTCAGGCTGACTCTCTTCTAGGCTCTCCTGACTGTTCCCTTTACATGTTGATGATGTGTCTTGTAAATCTGGATCCCTTTCCAGCAGGACGCTCCTCTTTTTCAGACAGTACCTCAGCTGCTCTCTCTCCTGACAGTCAGCTGTCCACCTCTGCATGGCCAGTCGAGCCAGCGCCGGCATTTGAGGCAGAGCTCGGAGCAGAGCGGGCAGCCAGGCTGAGCACGGAGCAGAGGTTGAAGGTCGCAAACTGACATCCACGTCTTCCAGAGAGCCCAGACCTCCTGCTGCAAACAGACTGCACCAACCGTTGTCTCCCACCAAGCTGTTGTAGGACAGATCCAGTGCACGGAGTGAGGAGAGACAGCCCCGTCTGCACACGGCAGCTGCACAGAGGAAGAGGACCCATTGATAACTGATCACTTTATGCCTGTTCACTTTACTGTTTTGTTCACAATGTTTCTGATGGAGACAAAAATAACACCGAATAGTTTCATTGTTTTGTTTTATACGACAGCTACAGATGCTGGCAGCATGAAATAAATGAAAGAAATATCAATTTCCTTCAGGCTTTACTTGTCTTAATATACATTTATGCAGCCTAATGATCCACTACAGACCAAAAAAGAAAAAGTATAATGTCATTGTGTGTTAGTTACCCAGATGTTGCATGTCATCAGTGGTGAGCTCGCAGCTGCAAAGACGGAGCTCGCTGACGACTGATGGCTGCAGAGCATCCAGCAGGAGCGCCAAGTGACCGCCAACCACTTTACACCAGGAAATATCCACCGTGCGCAGATAGGACACCGCCAGGGCTGATGCATAAACACAAAGTTTTCACCATTTCAGGCTAGAGGGTGGAAGAGGTATTCAGGGAGAATGACTTGAAGGAAAACTTCTATAATAAACAAGTGTGTGTGTGTGGTGTGTTGGTGGTGGTGGTGGGTACCAGAGCAGTGAAGACTCGTTGCTCATGTAGCAGCTGTTGAATGGCAGCCTCCTCATTTGTGTCGCAGGGAGGGCGGAGACCAGCAGGTGGACCACACCTCCCATTCCTTATTGGATGACACATCAAGCTCGGTCAGTCAGTGAGAGAGGGCAGCACTGGACTGAAAAAAACGAGTCACATGACTGCTGCAGCGAGCATGCGATTAGTGTCCGGCGTGTGAGATTGGTAGCAACTGACTCAGAGCCTCTAGATCATCTCGCGTGAGGCAACACAGGTGGAGGTCGAGTCTCTCCAGGTGTGTGACGTGAGCCAGGTGAAAGGTGAGGCGGCTCAGTCCACCAGCTAGAGCAGCTTTACAGTATATTAATCAGAACAATGCTGCTCTCTAATGTATCTTGGTAAAGCGCAGAAAAATCTAATGTTTTATATGATACAGTGTGATTTCAGTAACATATCATAATGGAGGCTTCAGCAAGTACTTACGAAGGAAATCTTTCCTCTGCTCTTCAGTTAGTTCATCAAATACCTCCCAAAACATCTGTATGGTGGGGGTGGCGGTCATGATATCTCCAACCATAACTTGTGTTCTGAAAACAGTGAAAATGACTGTTATAATCATAGAGTTTGTAAGGTCAGGCATACACTATGTTGCCAAAAGTATTCCCTAACACATCCAAATCATTCAATTAATGTGTTCCAATCACTTCCATGGACACAGGTGTATTAAATCAAGCACCTAGGCATGCAGACTACTTCTACAAACATGTGTGAAAGGACGAGTCGCTCTCAGGAACTGAATGAATTCCAGCATGGTAATGTGATAGGATGCACCAGTGCAACAAGTCCAGTCATGAAATTTCCTCGCTATTAAATATTCCATAGTCAGCTGTTAGTGATATTATAACAAAGTGAAGTAATTGGAAATGACAGCTAGTCAGCTGATGCTAAGGCTCATAGTGCACTTAAGTCACCAATATCTGCAGTCTGCTGTTGTTACAGATGTCCAAACTTCATTGGTTTCCATGGCTGAGCAGCTGCATCCCAGCCTTACACTGACAAACACAATGCAAAGCGTCAGATGGAGTGATTTAAGCATCTCAACACTGGACTCTAAAGCAGTGGAGATGTGTTTACTGGAGTGACGAATCACACTTCTCTGACTGGCAATCCGATGGATGTGTCAGGGTTTGGTGGTTGCCAGAAGTACTTGTCTGACTGCACTGTGCCAAGTGTAAAGTGTGGGCATGTGTGCACATGGCTGGCACCAGTGCACAATACAAGGTCCATAAAGACATGGATGAGTGAGTTTGGTGTAGAAGAACTGGACTAGCCTGCACAGAGTCCTGACCTCAACCTGATAGAACATCTTTGGATGAATTAGAGCAGCAACTGTGAGCCAGGCCTTCTCCTCCAACGTCAGTGTCTGACACCACAAATGCACCTCTGGAAGAATAGTCAAAAAATTCCCATAAACACACCTAAACCTTGTGGAAAGCTTTCCCAGAAGAGTGGAAGCAGTTATAGCTGCGAAGGGTGGGCTGACTATTATATTATACTATCATACAAAAGTCTGGATTAAGACTGAGATGTGACTCAAGTTCATATTTGTGTTAAAGCAGCCGACTGAATGCTTTGACAGTATGCAGTACACAGTTATTGTGCTACAGGACAGCTGTGAAACTACAGCCTGTGTCTGTTTGGCTGACTGTACCTGTTTGAACTTTTCCCAGTCATGCACGTCCTGGCCGACCAGCACTCCCTGCAGCTCCTCTGGTCAAAACAGCCTCACCAAATCCTGCTCACACACCAGGAAGAAGCCTCGCTTGAACTCCTGGAACAGATTCTCCACTGATGTGTTGAAGGCATGATTCACATAGGCCTCCACAAACTCCTTCCTGTTTAGGAGGGAAAATGTTAAATTAGCAAACATTTCACAGAGACAAAGGTGCTGCAGATGAACCTCACAAACACTTCATGTTTTATATGCTTACTTATTTTGACCTGTCAGTGGCTTTCCAGGAGTTTGAGGATCCAGGTCAACATCTGTTCCATCCCAGATTATCTGTAAATTAGTTATAAATCAGATGAGTTTAGCTGCAAAACCTGAGAATGAGACAGATTACTGATCATCTTCTATAGTAAAACACATACCAAAAGTCCATGTAGAGATTATCCAGAACATCATCTTCATAGTTAGATAAGATATAAGATAATTTTTGATTTTTTAACTTGCGAATAATCTTTCTTGCTGTAAAATGATCGACTTCAAAGCCTTCCCACATCATGGGTATCAACAACTGCTTCTCTCCTCCTCAGTATTTACCACTTACCTGAATACGCCACACCAGCAAACTGACAGTAGTGGTTACACTTACTGATGATCTAGTGCACTTGATTAGCACTTGGCTAATACTGACCCTCTTAAATAATTATGGAAATAGTCTTGGATGTCTTAGTTTTTGAAACATCTGAATTTCGGCTCAGTGTGTGTTAAATAAATAATGACCTGGTATAATGTGTTCTGTGCTGTTCATCTGAGGTTGCATTTACCTCATATTAAGACCTACTAAGGACCTGATTGTTTTTAATTATGTCCTGATACATAAAACCTGAGAGCTCACATAACTGCATATGCTCAGAATAGACAGCACACATCGATACAAATTACTGCCTTGCAGCAGCAATCTTCAGACCATCACTATGAGCTCTATACAAGGTTACACTGTTCCTGTTATTAACAGCAGGGGGCACTATCAGCCACAGACTGGGAGCCAGATATGCTCTGCTGGTGCCTCATTGTTACAGAGGAAAGACTCTATAGTGAGAAACAGCTGAGGGGGAAACACTGATCTGGAAACGTCTGAGTGTTACAGAGGATATACATAGCACTGTGGTTCAGTGTCACACAATCACAAACAAATACAGCAAAGTACTAAAAAGGGTGTTGCCTCCAAAGATTGCTTTTACTGGTTTGGAGCTTAGGAGGCTTAATAACAACAGGCATGAATGAAGACAGATCAGAACAGCTGTTTGATCACAGCATCCAGTACCAAAACAATCATCCACACTCAAGAGCCTGTTGGCTTCAGAGTCAGCAGCTGAATGTCTAAAATATCAAATGTCATTTTTGGTCCATCAGCTACAGCATGAACTGCTTAAAGTGAGAAGCAGCCTGAAGCCCGACAGATTCATCTTTCCAGACTGAAAATATCTCAGAGTGAACCGAGTGGTGCGTTTTCAGGGTGATCTCACAAAGTCAAATCCCTTTAATGATGTTCTGTCCTGTCTTCCTCTATCAAAAGCACACAAACACTATAAAACATTGTTTCGGTGCTTTGGGGTTTTGTTTCCTACACAGAGGTATAGCACGACTAGACCCTAAAGGCAGGCTGCTCACCTACAACCAGCTCACGAACATCTTTCCAATGGAGCTCGCTGCCTTTCTCGTGGATGAGGGTCACTGTGATCCTCCGCTGGATCCCCTGCAGCAAACATAACAGGAGCTCAGGATCACAGTGAGCACAGCTAGAGCAACATTACGCTTTAAAAGAAGATATTCAACTGTGTACAAAGGAAGCAGTTACCACTGTGTGAGTAATAAGGAAACAACATGTGCACCAATCCTGTACCTGGTGCAGCAGGTAGGTACCATGACAGGGCAGGCCTCCACTGTGATCCACGATGGCTGGGATGTACCTGTGCATGGAGGGAGGAGGTGACACAACATCCCAACTTATAATATTCTTCCTGGAGATCATTTTTATGGTTCCTTTAAAGCTTGTGCGTGAATATAACACTCCAGGTGGATACTCACTCTCCAGTGGGCTCCAGCTCGCTGATCTCAAACCAGACCAGCAGGTCGTACTTGCTGACACACTGACCCAGGTTGGATTTGGTGATGGTGTTCAACTTGGAGGCTGCAACTGGCACACACACACACACACACACACACACACACGCACACGCGCACACACGCACGCACGCACACGCACGCACACACGCACGCACACACGCACACACACGCACGCACACGCACACACACACACACACACACGCACACCACACACACACGCACACGCACACACACACACACGCACACACACACACACACACTCAACGTTAACAAGTGGGAATTTTCTGGATTTAAGAGAAGGTGAATAAAAGTGAGCAGTATTTACTACATGCTTTGGGTGACTAAAAGGAGGATGGATAGGTGACATGAAAACACTACTGACCCTTTATACTGAGCCAATAGCTCACACACTTCTATTAAATCTGTCTAAAGAGCCAGTAATCACAGAGGATAGATACTGGAAGCAAACTGAAATGTTAGGAGGAACTAAATCACACATTACAACACCAGTGGCAGCACCCTGCTGTCTCACACATCGGGATCACGGTCCTGTTGAAGCGGGATAATTGCTAAAGCTCACAGTTGCATTCCTCTATACTCAATATGATGGAAAAAAACTATTTTAACAAACAATTAAAAAATGAACAAGTAAAAGATCTACTATAGCCAAAAGAAGACCATTTACAGACTATAGCCCTGTCAACAAGTATTTGCCTCCTTTCTCATTTCCTATCTTATTCCATATTTGTCACACTTACACCTTTCACATCAATACATTTATAACATTAGACAACAATGTCTAATATTCAACGGCAGTTTTCAAGGGCAAAACGCTATCCAAACATACTTGGTCCTATATGAAAAAGTAATCACACAGAAAACCTGATACCTTGTGTGTCACCTCTGACACCAACAGCTGCAGCAAGCGTTTGGTGCTAGAGGTCACATTTGGACTCTGGACCTCTGTGGAGTGTGCACATGATCTCATTACTGTCTAAAAATCCAAGGAGTGCTGAATCATTGAAAAATACACAGTAACAGGTGTGTAGCATCGCTAACTAGGTAGCAACAAGCCTCTAATTGGATAATCCAAATTGTCACTAGGTGTGAATGTGCAAATGAATGTGAGTGCGAATGGTTGTCTGTCCCTATGTGTTAGCCCTGCGATAGACTGGCGACCTGTCCAGGGTGTACCCTGCCTCTTGCCCTATGACAGCTGGGATAGGCTCCAGTGACCCCCGCGACCCTGAAAAGGATAAGCGGAAGCGAATGGATGGATGGAATTTTTCTTCCTTTATGCTTACAGCCACGCTCTTGACACAATCAGGACAAAATGCCATGGCGACTGTCCCTTGGTGACCTTCTTGGTTACCTCATTGCAGATGTTTTTCTATATTGCATAACTACTTTGGAATGATGCATCAAAAATAAATAAATAAATGAATACATGCCAAAAAAAGAAACATTTGTTTTAATGTGGGGTTTGAAAAAGCCCACCTTTTGAATTATAAGCCGTGAAAAATGACAGACTTTTTCTCATTATTTGGTAAGGATTAAGACGCACAAAGAACCAGTAATTCTTGCCCTTCAGCAGTCACAGAGGTTTAAACCATGCTGGTGAAATTAGTGCCATTATCTGACAGGGAGAGGAGCTGCAATATTTTCTATATGGCTCCAAGAGTGATAAAATGCCTCACAGCGATGTTCATAAATGTCAGTCATGCCCTGGCAGAGAACTCCACTGCTGAATTAATATTATATGTCAAACAATGCTCCATCCAGTTTTATGGGTTGCATACACAGTCTGAGCCTCCAGTCACGCAAACCTGTCCTGGCTTGTAGAGTGAAGCCAGACTAGATGCTAATGGAGCTCTCTAATACTTGAATTTTAGTCAAGCTTGCAGCTTTCTTCACTATGTTGTATAATGCAATGAATAACATGAACATTTTTAGTAAGGTTTGTTTGCTTGTTAACATTTTTCCCTTTAATGTTTTCATTAATAAAATCCAACCTTGAAGCATAACAAACCAACCTTCTACTTTCTTAAGTTCAAGCAAGTCTACAGTTTAAATAAAGGTCTAAAGTCACAAATATTATTCTGACAATAGAAATCCTAGAATAGTGGTAACACTCTGAATACACATGCCAATATAAATTTATCTCGCTGTCATGTGTTATTTTGCCGGGTTGTTTCCTCCCGTTGCCATGTAAACACAAAATAGTGTATATATATGAATATTTTCAAAAAATGCTCTGTGAGTTCCACATCATAACAGTTATTTACTGAGCAGCTCAGTTAGAACTTGCCACTCACACACTGAGCAGCACTCACTAACTTTCTATTTCTAAACAATTTGTTCACTTTTTATCTCAGGCATGTCTGAAAAGACATCAGATAACTTTTTCCATCGCTTTGAAGATTTGATTCAGAGAAAGCGCACAGGTGGAGATGTAAGTAACTAAACATACTCATTCTTGACTTCTCTGCTGATCAAATGTAAATGTTTCTGAGAGATGTGTTATATTTTGCTGCTTTGCACAGTGTAATTTTTGTGTAAGTCACTGTAGACAGAGCAACTGTCAGCGCTTCACCACAGAGTCCAGGATCCTGGACTTTCACAAAGCTCAGAGCAGTAAGACAAATGTGTTCTTTCAACAGGCAGACACATTGCATATCGCACAGAGACCCAGAGATTATGCTGTGCAACTCCCACCTTTACCTGAGCAATGCGCAGGCTCTCCACAGAGAGTCCAGAGAAGCTGGAACTGTTTGGATGACCCCTTTTGGAATCAGGAGGACCCTGAAAGAAGTCTGAGTAGCCTCAGCTCTGCAGACACACACACACCAAGTGATCTGAGGGCCATTCCTTTCATTGTTAGTCCTGTTGAGATGACACCGCTCACTCCAGTTCCTCCACCTCCTCGAGCAGCTTGTCCATCGCAATTGCCTGTTTTCTCTGCTAAACATTCAGGAGCAGGTCGGTTCAAAGGTGATGCTTTTCTTTAGTGGTTACACCTGCTGTTAATCAGTTAGTTTAGATTTTAAAATTTGACACTGTAGATTATCTATTTTAATGCTAAATTACACATTCTTGCTGTCCATTCATTTTATATGCTTTTTTGAAGAAAAAAAAATCAGGAAGAAAAATGTTTATTGTTGTTTTTGTAAGATGTCAATTTGTAGTTATTTAGTTATTTTTTTTTGTCTAAACAGACACGAAGGTCATTCGTGGAATAAGAGTCTTGACAGCAAAAGACAAATTTGGGCCTATTTTGGAAAAACTGCAGCATTTCCAGGATGGGATTGTAACCTCACCTGGACACACAGTACCAACCAAAACATTTACTGCAGTAAAGCCTTTGACTCCAAAACCTCCAACAGTTCCCTCCCATACCGCAAAAACGAGGACCTCGGCCTGGGACGCTGCTGCGCCGTGCAAAAGTCGTCCCTATAGACGGTAAGTGGTTTTCCTCAGTAACTGTAGAAGATGCTGAATAATCAAACTTTAAATTAAGAGATTTTTTAAAAAGATTTTAATGAACAATTAATCACTGCATCATGCTTCGAATTAGAAGAAATGACAGTTTCTTTTTACTAACCTCGTTGATTATCAGACAAGAAAGCAGACAGTCAGTGCAGTCAGAATAATCCAAGAGAGAGCAGGGTCAAACTCCCGCCTGTAGCTACACCTGTAGAGAGCCTGTCCCACAGCTTTAGTCTGCTGTCTTCAGACGACTGGTAAGAAACGTAGTAAGGAGACATTAAATACTGCACAGAAACAGTGCTGCATAATGTGGCTGTGTTATTTGTGGTGTTCCTGAAGTCGTGTTCAATGTTGTGTTGTGTAAATACAGGATTAAGAAAAGACAGGGCTTACAAACTATTCAGTCTCTGGCAAAGCACCACTCGGACATTCTGAAGACTAAACTACATGAAGTGTGTCTGGTCCTCATTGAGGAGGTATTGCACACTTTATGTTTCTTATATGCGTTTCATGCAGCTAGTTTCCCTTCAAGTGCATACTACAGCCTCAACTGATGATTTTCACTCACATTTTAGGTGAAAAACCAACGCTCAGCAATAGCCTTTGAGGCCATACATGCCATCAATGAGCTCTACATTCAGCTCCAGAGAACAATGGACCCAGAAGTTGAAACAACAGGCCGAGCTCTATTGCTGAAGCTTGCAATGACCAACAACAACTTTCTACATCAGGAGGTCAATCTGGCGCTTGATGCCATGGTGGAAAATTGCAGCCATGGACGGATTCTGAGCGCTCTGTTTAACACAGGACTGACGTAAGAGGAGAGAAGAAGCTGTAGTGATTTTATTAGAAGACATGAAAGAGAGATCATGTTCACTGAGTTGTGTGTCTAATATTGTCCTTGCTCAGCCATCGCTGTGTTGCAGTGAGGAATAGCACGGCTCAACACCTGCACCAGCTGGCTGACAAACTTGGAGCAGCCGTCACCCTGAAAACAGGAACCTTCACTGAAAGATTTCTAATTGCTGCCTCTAGAATGGCAGGGGATGCTGCACCTGAAGCCAGGTGGGTACTTTTAAATGGGTTTGAAGTGCATCAATGTTTTATTTTCTGTGAGTTTACACAATTAATGAAAATTAATGACAACTGTAATCTTCCACAGGTACCATGGGCGAACAATCATTGAGAAACTGACCCTTCACAAGGACTTTATGAATTTGTGGGTGAAGATTGTCCCTGAAAAAGACAGGCGTCCTGTGGAGAAGAGCCTGAAACAGACAGGCGTCCTGTGGAGAAGAGCCTGAAAAAGACAGGCGTCCTGTGGAGAAGAGCCTGAAAAAGACAGGCGTCTTGTGGAGAAGAGCCTGAAAAAGACAGGCGTCCTGTGGAGAAGAGCCTGAAAAAGACAGGCGTCCTGTGGAGAAGAAAGAGCTTAGGGAGTTCCTGTGTGTCCAGTTGACGGACAAGGGACGCACAGGTGGAGATGTAAGTAACTAAACATACTCATTCTTGACTTCTCTGCTGATCAAATGTAAATGTTTCTGAGAGATGTGTTATATTTTGCTGCTTTGCACAGTGTAATTTTTGTGTAAGTCACTGTAGACAGAGCAACTGTCAGCACTTCACCACAGAGTCCAGGATCCTGGACTTTCACAAAGCTCAGAGCAGTAAGACAAATGTGTTCTTTCAACAGGCAGACACATTGCATATCGCACAGAGACCCAGAGGTTATGCTGTGCAACTCCCACCTTTACCTGAGCAATGCGCAGGCTCTCCAGAGATAGTCCAGGGAAGCTGGAACTGTTTGGATGACCCCTTTTGGAATCAGGAGGACCCTGAAAGAAGTCTGAGTAGCCTCAGCTCTGCAGACACACACACACCAAGTGATCTGAGGGCCATTCCTTTCATTGTTAGTCCTGTTGAGATGACACCGCTCACTCCAGTTCCTCCACCTCCTCGAGCAGCTTGTCCATCGCAATTGCCTGTTTTCTCTGCTAAACATTCAGGAGCAGGTCGGTTCAAAGGTGATGCTTTTCTTTAGTGGTTACACCTGCTGTTAATCAGTTAGTTTAGATTTTAAAATTTGACACTGTAGATTATCTATTTTAATGCTAAATTACACATTCTTGCTGTCCATTCATTTTATATGCTTTTTTGAAGAAAAAAAAATCAGGAAGAAAAATGTTTATTGTTGTTTTTGTAAGATGTCAATTTGTAGTTATTTAGTTATTTTTTTTGTCTAAACAGACACGAAGGTCATTCGTGGAATAAGAGTCTTGACAGCAAAAGACAAATTTGGGCCTATTTTGGAAAAACTGCAGCATTTCCAGGATGGGATTGTAACCTCACCTGGACACACAGTACCAACCAAAACATTTACTGCAGTAAAGCCTTTGACTCCAAAACCTCCAACAGTTCCCTCCCATACCGCAAAAACGAGGACCTCGGCCTGGGACGCTGCTGCGCCGTGCAAAAGTTGTCCCTATAGACGGTAAGTGGTTTTCCTCAGTAACTGTAGAAGATGCTGAATAATCAAACTTTAAATTAAGAGATTTTTTAAAAAGATTTTAATGAACAATTAATCACTGCATCATGCTTCGAATTAGAAGAAATGACAGTTTCTTTTTACTAACCTCGTTGATTATCAGACAAGAAAGCAGACAGTCAGTGCAGTCAGAATAATCCAAGAGAGAGCAGGGTCAAACTCCCGCCTGTAGCTACACCTGTAGAGAGCCTGTCCCACAGCTTTAGTCTGCTGTCTTCAGACGACTGGTAAGAAACGTAGTAAGGAGACATTAAATACTGCACAGAAACAGTGCTGCATAATGTGGCTGTGTTATTTGTGGTGTTCCTGAAGTCGTGTTCAATGTTGTGTTGTGTAAATTCAGGATTAAGAAAAGACACGGATTGCAAACTATTCAGTCTCTGGCAAAGCACCACTCGGACATCCTGAAGACTAAACTACATGAAGTGTGTCTGGTCCTCATTGAGGAGGTATTGCACACTTTATGTTTCTTATATGCGTTTCATGCAGCTAGTTTCCCTTCAAGTGCATACTACAGCCTCAACTGATGATTTTCACTCACATTTTAGGTGAAAAACCAACGCTCAGCAATAGCCTTTGAGGCCATACATGCCATCAATGAGCTCTACATTCAGCTCCAGAGAACAATGGACCCAGAAGTTGAAACAACAGGCCGAGCTCTATTGCTGAAGCTTGCAATGACCAACAACAACTTTCTACATCAGGAGGTCAATCTGGCGCTTGATGCCATGGTGGAAAATTGCAGCCATGGACGGATTCTGAGCGCTCTGTTTAACACAGGACTGACGTAAGAGGAGAGAAGAAGCTGTAGTGATTTTATTAGAAGACATGAAAGAGAGATCATGTTCACTGAGTTGTGTGTCTAATATTGTCCTTGCTCAGCCATCGCTGTGTTGCAGTGAGGAATAGCACGGCTCAACACCTGCACCAGCTGGCTGACAAACTTGGAGCAGCCGTCACCCTGAAAACAGGAACCTTCACTGAAAGATTTCTAATTGCTGCCTCTAGAATGGCAGGGGATGCTGCACCTGAAGCCAGGTGGGTACTTTTAAATGGGTTTGAAGTGCATCAATGTTTTATTTTCTGTGAGTTTACACAATTAATGAAAATTAATGACAACTGTAATCTTCCACAGGTACCATGGGCGAACAATCATTGAGAAACTGACCCTTCACAAGGACTTTATGAATTTGTGGGTGAAGATTGTCCCTGAAAAAGACAGGCGTCCTGTGGAGAAGAGCCTGAAAAAGACAGGCGTCCTGTGGAGAAGAGCCTGAAAAAGACAGGCGTCCTGTGGAGAAGAGCCTGAAAAAGACAGGCGTCCTGCGAAGAAGAAAGAGCTTAGGGAGTTCCTGTGTGTCCAGTTGACAGACAAGGGGTTGTTTGGTGAGCCGGGTCCTGCGGGGAGGTTGAGCTGGGGGCTGTTGCTGGTGTTTCTGCCTTACACCTTATTGCGGTTTGCCCTGCTCTGAAGAGAAAAGAAATGACCAGGGAGGGTACATCTCCTTCCCCAATAATCCTTCTACAGACAAACTCTCCTACCTGGGGGGAGGTGATGGCACCCGAAATGATAAAGTAGATAAGGAGTTTAAGCCGTTTGTGTCAAACGGCTTTGTTTCCTTGATAGGAGAAGATCGGCGGACTCCTGTCAGTATTTTGCGAGACACTGGTGCGAAACAGTCGCTCATTCGTGAGGGGGTCTTACCGTTTTCAGCTCAATCCTGTTGTGGGGCGGATGTGTTAGCCTGGGGAGTTAGGATGTGTGTAATACGGGTTCCTTTACACTTGGTGCAGCTTTCATCTCAGTTTTTGTCTGGTGAGGTTAAGCTTGGGGTGCGACCCCAGTTACCGGTTGCAGGTATTGACATCATCTTGGGAAACGATCTAGCTGGCGGCACAGTTTTTCCGTCGCCAGAAGTAGTTGATATACCACTTACAGATAACAGTGGTTTTGATCGTGCCACATCAAAGGCTGTTCAAACCGTCAGTGTAAAGACATTTAGGCAGAGGAGAGGTGCGAGTGGATCCCAGCAACAGCAGCAGCAGAATAGGAGGCAGCCCAAGGGACGAGAAGAACAAATATTCAAACCACAAGGGTCACTGAAGCCACCATGCAATCAGACCCAAGTAGAGTCACTTTTCAGGACAGTCAGCAGCAAAATGCTGAAACCAGGCCACCTGCTAGAAAAAGACAAGGACCTCGACGGCACAGGAACCGCAGAAGAGGCCAGCTGATGGTGGCTAATGCTCCATCTCCCACCCCTTAAATTTGACACAGACTTTGATTTTGATTCCTCCAACGCGCAATTCATTAAGGAGGCGCTTGAGAAGAAGTTACAGGAGGGGCTGAATCTAAAAGATGGGAATTCTGAGGGAAGAGAAAAGGTGGGGTTGCAGCTGAGTTCGGGGAGGATCATTTTGGTCCAAAGTGCTACTATGACAAAGCAAAGTCTTTCTTTGACAACATCTCATCTGATAATGGGCTCAGACTGACGTGGGCAGAGGAGCGAAAGCGCAATCTGGAGACTTTTGGTGTCCCTGGGCGGTTCCTGAGGGGCCAAGGATTCAGAGGTGGACGCCAGTGTTTTGGGGGCGGGTGCAGTGCTCGTGCAGGAGGATGAAAATGGCATTGACCACCCAGTCTGTTTCTTTTCTAGAAAATTTCTAAAACAGCAACCAGCGCCTCATGCGTTGGTCCTTACTCCTACAGGATTTCAACATTGAGATCCGATATATAAGAGCTTAGAGAATGTTATGGCTGATGCCCTCTCTAGGTCGTAAATCAAACATCTTTGTGTGGGGTTGGATGTTTGATTTTTTTTGGGTGGGGGAAACTGTTATGACCCAGTGATGTGTTTGTTGGTGTTGTGCCTCCCACCGGAGGATGGCTGGCGGTATTTTCCCTTTTTTCTCTCCTAGGAGGTGGACACCTGGGCGTGGCTGCTAGGTATCTGGGTGGAGTCTCTACATATCTTCGGACTGGATAATTGATGGACCACCTCCAGTACTTAACGTCCGGATGACAGTCACCTGGGAGTGCTTTTTGGAACCCCGTTGACTCGGTCAGTTGTGTGTTGTGTCATTGTAGTGCAGGCTGTGTGTGTGTCTGTTGCTGGTGTTTTTGCCCCACTGAAAAATCTCCCTTCTCCACCTAGCCCTTCTGCGGAGGAGCTGCGGGTAACGCTGCGCATTAAGGAGGTGGAGCTAAAGAAACAGCAGTTGGAGGTGGAAGCTATGCACTTGAGGATCAGGGCTCACCATCCAGTCACCATCCCCGCAGGCACCCTCCCCGGAGTCATTATCACCGCAGTCGCCATCTCCGCAGCCACCGGCCTTGATGCCAGGTGGTGGCTTTGATGCGAGTAAACACATCAAAATGGTGCCGGCGTTTCGGGAAACTGAGGTGGATTCGTATTTCACAGTGTTTGAGCGTATCGCAGGTGCGCTGCACTGGCCAAAAGATGTGTGGTCTCTTTACTCCAATGTAGATTGGTGGGGAAAGCTCAAGAGGTGTGCACCGCTCTTTCTCTGGAGGACAGTTTTGACTATGAGGTGGTGAAGGCTGCTGTCCTGCGTGCTTATGAGCTGGTGCCAGAGGCTTACAGGCAGAGATTTAGGAATGGGAAAAAATCCGCCAACCAGACCTATGTGGAGTTTGCCAGAGAAAAGAAAACTCTGTTTGATAAGTGGTGTCATGCTACAGCAGTAAAAACCTTGAATGACCTGGGTGAGTTGGTGACGTTGGAAGAGTTTAAAAACCAACTACCAGACACTGTGGTAACCTACTTAAATGAACAGAAGGTTACGACTCTCGCCGCTGCTGCTATACGGGCTGATGAGTTTGTGTTGACACACAAAGTGGTGTTTTCGGTTCCTGCTCACAGTTTTCCGTCTTCCGGTAGCCCGCCCAGATGGTCTCCAAGGGCACCCGCCGTGCCATCCCCTCATCCATTGAGAACCGCGTGTGTTTTTTTTGCCATGAGCAGGGAGTTGTGTGTTGTGTCATTGTAGTGCAGGCTGGAGTATTCACGTGTACCTCTAGCCTTGCCATGTAAATAATTGTAAATAAGTTAACAAGTGGCGGTCACTTTTTGTTCCTTTGCTGTATAACTTTCATTGTCGCAGCCTAGTAGCCGTGAGAAGCCGTTTTCTTTTGTTGAACAAGTTTTCTCCTGTTTTTCGTTAGATAGTTAGTTAAGTGACTTGTCTTTTGTTTTGGCTTCTTTTTATTTTGGTGTAGGGAAGAGTAGGGATTGTTTTATAGGGAGTTTTGTTTATTGTTTTGGCATTGCTCACTGCCGATGAAAATAAATGGCTGCTTAAATACTTGAAAAAGGTGTCGTTGTTGGGGTTTGTGCGTGGGTGGGAAGTGAGTGGGGCAAACTATTTGTTACGTTTATTTACTTGCCGGGACCAGAACGTAACAAGAGCCTGAAAAAGGCTAATAATTACAGGCAGCAGGTCAGCATCCAGACTAGGCTCTCCTCTCCAGCAGGGCCTGGGTTCCCCAGATGTGACAATGCAAGTCCTGACGAGTACAGAGGAGAAGAGTGGCTGCTACAGTAGCAGCAGCACTCTGAGGCTAAGCTGGGAAAGTCGTTGGAGGTTCAACCATCATGACCACAGACAGTCCCAGTCGCTCTGCGGGAGTAAACTTCTCCATCTTCAGGACTACAAACTATTTCTCTGAAGGACAATATTATTTAGATTTACATTAATTATTATTACATCATTCTTATTATTACATTATTTGTATTATTTCATTATTATTATCACATTTTTAAGATCCTGAATGGACAATGAATGAATAAATCCCTTTTTTTTCATCTGAATTAAAACGGCACTTTGGTTGCACATATACAGTTTCTGTTTTTCTGTCAACAAATATTAATACATTCTTAGTTCTCTTGTTTTCATTTTTAACCCATGATTTTGAATTTTTATCAGGATTCAAAGTCATTTTTATAACATAAAGAAATATTAAATAAATACTAGAAAGCGAAAATTTCAGAAAAATTTTTAAGTCTGCCTATGCTGCTGCTAATCAGTGTAGTTTGCCATTCATACGGCTACAGAGAGCAAAACTCAGCAGAGCAGCCATTCTCCACCATGAACTATGGTAAAAACAAACACCGCTCGCGCCTCACAGATGACAGCTTACAGTTTTGTGTAAAGATGAGGTGACTTCGTACAGCCCCGATTTGCAGACGCTGTGCACAGAGGTTCATGAGCAGAAGTCCCATTGTACCACGGCAGACCCAACAATGTTTGCATGAACACGCTTTGAAGCATTACGTTATGGACCACTTTTCACACATGGTTGGTGTACCCACACAGCCGGCTGTAGCTTTTCAACTCACAGCCCAACACACACCAAAAAAAAACCAGCCGAGAGAGCACAGACTTTACGCCCGTGGGTCCACCTCCCCTGCAGCGGCACTGCAGACCACGCCCTGCCACACACATCAAACACGTAAAATAAATATTTATGCACTTTTGCATTCACTTTTTGTTTTTTGTTATTTTTACACAGTGTTCTGAATGATTAACAATGGTCTACAGCCAATCTTGTGTATTATTATACAAACTTTGGTTGTAAGATTCAGATAACTATTTAATAAAAGGTAAATATTTTATATGAGAGCAAGAAAGAAAAGTATATCTTTGTGTCCCCCTCTCCCTGTTAATGCCCTACCTGGCCCCCTGGCAAAAGCTTTGCTAGATCCGCCCCTGCACAGTTACCAGCTGTCAGCTACACAAAAAAAGGAGCTTGGTGTTATTTGTCTCTCAGAAACAGTTGATAACTTTCCTTCAACTCATTCATGTCACCTAAAAGGTAAACCTGTTTCTCCATCACCAGTTCAGCTCTGATGATTCAGTAAGGACATCTCCTGGTTTCGACCAGCCCTTTTTTACAGCTGTGGCTCCAGCAAACATCAGCTGATACTAGAAATTAAAATTAAATGAATTCTAACAACAGCTGATCAAGCTTAACCGTGCTGCTGTTGTTTAGCGCAATGAACAAACGAGAGAAAAGCCGATCATTGATCAGTTTCATGATTGAAGTTTCAACAGGCGAGAGAATGACAGGGGAGGCTGTCATAAAGTTCAACATCAGTAACTTAGGTGCACACAGCTGTCGTGCTAGCTAGCACGCAGAACGAGTTATTGTAACTGTCAGCACAACGAAAATAAACTACACCTAAACTCGGTTTATATCTGACCCAAATAGAGTGCAGTTCGTAACTTCTTACCTGAAATTCAGTTCACCTCACGCTCGGACCGGCAGCAGCCTGCTTCTCCTGCCTTCGGTTTCCCTTATCCACGATTGAGCTCCACGTTAGCCACCACCGGTCGATCGGCGGCCGCCTCGCCACCGGTGTATGTGTCTTTCCCTGCATAGGAGGGTTAGTGGTTAATGTGCTGCCCATTGTGTTGGATTGTCAATGCAACCCTCTTCTCCCACTCTTCACACACTGATAGCAACACCGCAGGAGAAATGCCAGCACAGGCATCCAGTATCCATAGTTTCAGGTGCTGCACATCTCGTATCTTCACACCATAGACAATTGCCTTCAGATGACCCCAAAGATAAAAGTCTAAGGGGGTCAGATCGGGAGATCTTGGGGGCCATTCAACTGGCCCATGACATGACCAATCCACTTTCCAGGAAACTGTTCATCTAGGAATGCTCGGACCTGGCACCCATAATGTGGTGGTGCACCATCTTGCTGGAAAAACTCAGGGAACGTGCCAGCTTCAGTGCATAAAGAGGGAAACACATCATCATGTAGCAATTTCAAACATCCAGTGGCCTTGAGGTTTCTGTAGCCAAGTACAGGATAGGGTAGGGGAAATTAAAGTAAGATGGAGAGAATGGGCCAATAGCTAGATTCGTAGGAGGGATAAAGTGAGTTGCGTGGAGAAGAATGACTGGAGCCACAGGTAAAGTTGCTATGAATTGTATTAAACTATTTAGCAACAATTTAACAGCATTTCATGAACAGGAATGAAAACATAAAATAAAATACAGTGACAGCAATAATAATAACAGTCAGAATCCTATCTCAGCTCAGATATGTCAGTCTTGCCGGCTTAATAGTCAGTGTTCAGTCAAGTCAAATCCAATAGGTCAAAAGTTTGTGATTGGTGCGATTTCGTCCTACTGCACTGTTGCAATTGTTCGTGAGAGAAGAGCAACCTGATTTATAAATGTATTTATATAGCACATTTAAAACAAGAACCGTTGACCAAGGTGGTGTACAATTAAGATAATTGAGAGAAATACAAACAAAGGGAGACATGATAAGAGTTAAGAAAAAGAATCATAAAATTAGAAGATTTGAGTAAGAAATAAGATAAATAAAAGTAATACAAGCTCATTCTGATTTAAAAGTCAAGGATTAAAACTGGGTTTTCAGACGGGTTTTAAAAGTGTCCAATGTTCAATGACTAAAATTTACAGCTGACTACATGGACAAGCTAAATGTCTTCTGGAGAATTTTTTATGGTCAGATCAGACAAAGATGGAATTATTCGGACACAATGATGAGTATGTTTGGGTGAGAAAAGTCAATTGGACCTAAGAACTGTCATAAATCATGCTCTGGGGCTGATTTGCTGTGAAATTCTTTGAAAATGTGTGGGTTAAGTCCATATCAGGAAACTCTTGGCATTTGCATTTCTACCAAAGAGAGTCTCTGCAAATATCTAGCCAGAGTTCAAAAGCTTTCTGATCAAAAGGAAACTTGCCAGAAGAGACATTTATTAGTGGCGTGCATGTTTATATTTGAGCCTGTATGTAAACTTGACTACATTTAGAGAAAAACCTAAATAAGTTCAAAGTTGTGCACCCAATTCTTATTTTTTTTTAAAGTCAGTAAAGATGCATGATGTGCAGTTTACCCCACCCTGAAAAAAAAAGCAGTTACAACACCAGTTTAAAGATATTTACAACATTACAGTGAGCTTCACTTCCAATTGAATGTCTACTGGTAAACAATGTCTCTCACCTGCTGAAAGAGGTGGGGGAAAACCTGAAGGATGAGAAATTCAGCGTCAGAATTCAGAAATGAAAGTGAGAGATACACCTGAGCAAAAATCTATTTCTCTTTAAAAGAACCTAAAACTTTACTCATTGAGTCTTTTGCTACAACACAGCAGGGCTTCTGTCCAACACAGCTTATACAGGTGACCATGATCAGGCTGTTTTAAATGTCTACATTTAAACTCTCCTCTTTCACAGTTTAGGAATCAAACATCAAATACAAAAACAACCCTACACCCACTTCTGTGACAAACATGAGTTTTCTTATTTGGACAACTCTTTGGTAATCTTGAGCTGTGATTGGCTGAAAACTGATAAACTTTGTTGTTTCTTTGGTTGTTGAACCATGTGAACCGATACAGTGTATTGTAAATTATTAGAATTAAATAAACCATTAAAATAAATGTAGTAAGATGTGACACAAAACTCTAGATGGATGACATTCCACTGATGAAAGTTGGATGTTAATGAAGGATGAAACTAAAAGCATGTGTAACAATAGAAATTCACTTGAGCGGAATCAGTTTCTTTTCAAAGGAACATTAAACTGAGCTCACTGATCCTTTCATATCAGCACAGCAGAGCTTCTCTCCAACACTGGTGAGTACAGATGATCATGATTGAACTGTTTAAAAGTCTAAATGTGGATCATCCTCCACAGACAATGAAGTTTACAATTAAATCTCTAATCTCAGGGTTAACTGGATCCATCAGGTTTTCCTCAACAACACAGTAGAGTCTTTACAAACATTGGTAAGTGAACTCATGACACTCACTTTCACAGCAACTTGTTCATTCACATTGTTTTAAATTTTAAGGGGTGAGAGTTTCTTTGACTTGTATTGTAAAGACACATACGTTGTGGACTTTTTGGTCAGACTTTCTGACATGGGCGGTATCTTGGTGATGGGATCCAGTGGTTGGCCAGATGCCTATTTTGCTTAGAGGGCCTTCTCATGTGGACCTCCCTAACTACCAACATGCAAGATGTTGTAGTGAGGAAACAGTAATCTTATCTTTGACAGCAGATGATTTATGGTAGTTGGTAACCCAGTAAAGACTTTAATGGGGAAAGACCAGTAGAGAGAGCAGTGGAAGTCATGTGTGTATTTGATCAGGACAGTTTGAAGCTCAGGAGGACTGGTTAAAGGAGGCAAAACACCAAAGGGCAGCTTATACCTCTTGGTTAGCTTTCTCCATTGCCCGGTGGTCTGGGGATAGAAATCAGAAGAGAGACTAACTTGAGCTCTCAGGGGCATTCACACTGATGACATTCAACATCATCCCTTCGATTTCTATCTTCAAACAGATCTAAGACTAAAAGAGCAGTGTGATACTTTTTATTTAGAGCAGTGTGACATGTGAACTTTGGGATCACAGGGATTAATTTCACATACACTGACTTTATTATTTCAAACTTTCATCATGTTTATCTTGACTATCCAGCACTGGAAAAGGAGACATAAGACAGAAAGGAAGAAAAAGCAGAACAAGTCTTCTTTAAATATGATTAAAACTGAATTTAAAATAAAAACATTTTCTTTTCTTTCTCACTCAGTGCAGACATGTCTGCTGCCAGCTGTCTTTTATCTGAAGATCAGTCTCTGTGCTCCATCTGTCTGAATGTCTTCACTGATCCAGTCTCCACACCATGTGGACACAACTTCTGCAATATCTGCATCAGTCAACACTGGGATATCAGTGAGAGGTGTCAGTGTCCTGTGTGTAAAAAGGCATTTGAAGTCAGACCTGAGCTGCACATCAACACTTTCATCTCTGAGATGGTTTCTCAGTTCAGACATGAAACTCAGCAGAAAGTCAGCAGCAGCAGCTCAGAGCAACAAGCTGCCAAACCAGGAGAAGTTCCCTGTGACATCTGCACTGGAACCAAACTGAAGGCCCTGAAGTCCTGTCTGGTGTGTCTGGCCTCCTACTGTCAGACTCACCTGGAGCCTCACCTGACAGCTTCACGGCTGAAAAGACATCAGCTGATCGATCCTGAGGAGAACCTGGAAGGCAGGATGTGTATGAAGCATGATAAACCTCTGGAGCTGTTCTGTAAGAACGATCAGACATGTGTCTGCATGCTCTGCTGTGTTTTTGACCACAAGACTCATGCGTTTGTTCCTCTGAGAGAAGAATATGAAGGAAAGAAGGCAGAGCTGGGGGAGACTGAGGCTGAAATTGAACAGATGATCCAGAAGAGACGACTGAAGATTCAGGAGATCAAAGAGTCAGAGAAGAGGAGTAAAGATGCTGCAGACAGAGAGAAAGCAGAAGGTGTTCAGGTCTTCACTGCTCTGAAGGAGTCTGTTGACAGACGTCTGAACGAGCTCATAAAGGAGATTGAAGATAAACAGGAAACAACAGAGAAACAGGCTGAAGGTTTCATCACAGATCTGGAACAGGAAATCTCTGAGCTGATGAAGAGAAGCTCTGAGGTGGAGCAGCTCTCACGCTCTAAAGATCACCTCCACCTCCTCCAAGGCTTCTCATCCCTGAAAGCTGCTCCAACCACCAAGGACTGGACAGAGGTCAGTATCCATCCACCATCATATGAGGGGACTGTGGTGAGAGCTGTGGGTCGGCTGAAGGAGACTCTCAGTAAAGACATGAAGAAGCTGTTTGAGGCTGAGCTGAAGAGGGTCCAGCAGTATGCAGTGGATATGACTCTTGATCCTGATACAGCACATCCTTATCTCATCCTGTCTGATGATGGAAAACAAGTACACTGTGGTGGAGAGGAGAATGATCTTCCAGACAACCCAGAGAGATTTTCTGTGGAGCGTCTTGTTTTAGGAAAGCAGAGTTTCTCTTCAGGCAGATTGTACTTTGAGGTTCAGGTTAAAGAAAAGCCTGACTGGGTTTTAGGAGTGGTCAGAGAGTCAGTCAACAGGAAGGAAGTCATCACACTGAGTCCTGCGAATGGTCTCTGGACAGTAGGAGCATATGAAAACATTTGTGGAGCTCTTGAAGATCCCACAGTCCCACTCTCTCTTCAGCGTGGTTCTGAGAAGGTGGGGGTGTTTGTGGATTATGAGGAGGGTCTGGTCTCCTTTTATGATGTAGATGATGTAGATGTGATCTACTCCTTTACTGGCTGGTCCTTCACTGAGAAACTCTACCCATTGTTCTGTCCCAACGTTAATGTTGATAATGATGATGAGAACAGTTGTGGTAAAAAAATTAAACCTCTGATCATCTGTCCTGTCAATCAGTCAGTCTGATAGTTTACCATGTGGAAACTGGACCATATACAGAATCATCTCAACCTTTCAGCGGACACAGAAAAGAAGTCATAAAAAACATAACTGAGAAAACTGCAGCTGCTGATCATGATCATGATATACAGTTAGAAGCTGCAAATTAATCCAGTAAGCCGAGTCGAGTCAGTTGAGTTTTTGTTAAACTGTTTTCAAGTTGAAAAAATGATTACAACATAACAAAATAGAAACTCTCCTTTTTTTTTGCTTTCAGTGTTCAAAGGCACAGACATTAAAGCATATACTGTACACACGTTTGAGGAAACATGTTAATATTTTATTATTTTCATTCACCTTTTCTTAAATATCAAAATCAGGATTTCAGAAAATATTTTCTAATATGTACACCATGCTTTTTCAGAATACAATAAATACAATTCTAAACTTTTATTTCTTCTTTGAAGATAATCAGCCGATGAACTTCAGCCTTTTTACCTCTGAAGTGACAGCAAGACCAGTTCTTTTAGAAAGACCCACATTTACGCCAGTAGCATGAAATCTATCATACATGTCATAAATAAATTTGGAAAATGCAATTCTTTAGTTACATCTAGTCAGCTAAGTTTTCATTATTTTTTCTCTCTGATGTTCAGCCCGGATTAAGATGACAAAAATGCAGCACTTTAAGTGAAAATGCAGCAGAGGGCGCTCTTAGCCAGGCCCACTCTGTTCTTTATTTAAAACATTTAAATCATTGTGTGTGTTTGATTAGTGATTATTCAGCTCATCAGAGCTGCTTCAGTGTTTCACTCTGTTTTTTTCTTTATTCCAGCTTCACTGTGCAGCACATGTTGGCTTTATTTCGGAATTAATTTCTCTTCTCCTCTAAGACATCTTTGAACTAGTTTTTGTGTTTGTCATGGTTTATGTCCTAGTTCTATATTAGTTTTTCTTCAGCTCAGTTTTCCGCTGTATAGTCTCTGTCTTTCAGCCTTCCCGGTCACAAACCCATGACTGTCTGTTTTCTCCCTAGTCCCAGTGTCAAGCCCACGTGTCTTAGTCATGCTCTCAGTGTTTGTACTTCCTGCTTTGTTAATCTTCCATCTCATGTGTATTCTGTTCAGTTTTGCTTCCCCTGCATCGTCATTCAGTTTAGTGTCAGCTGTGTTCCCACCTGTGGCCTGTTCCCTTGTCGTCCTCTTTGTGTGTATATTTGGTAGCAGCAGCAGTGGGTTTCCAGGCCAATTAAGGAATTGAGAAGATGTCTACCTGAGCAAAGAGGGGGCTTGTTCCAGAATGTGAAGCAGATGATTTACAAGATGGCAGCGACCAACAAGGGGCAATAGGTGGCCATATTGCTGGACAAGAGAATGTGGCTGAATTGTCCAAACTTTTACAAACTCTGATGTAACAGCAGGCTGAACGCGATTCTAAACTGGAGCAAGAGCACAAGCGCCAGGAGGATAGATGGAGGCAAATCCGGCATCAGTTTGCCCAGCTTCAACAGCAGGTGCAGCATGGCAATCTAGAGCATCAGTTACTTGAAGTACAAGCATCTACATTGGCTTCTTCGAGAGCACCTACTCCAGAACCATCTGCCAGCACACAAGAATCAAATAGGCTTGACTTGGAGCCGGTACATCAACGCAGTGAGGCACAGCTTTCAACACTGGTTAGACAATCAGGCTGGAAGGGGCCAAAAATGCAACCTTACAATGAAGGTGAGGACATTGAACATTATTTAATCACCTTTGAAAGAATTGCTCATGCTTGCCAGTGGCCGCAAGATGAGTGGGCTCTTCACCTAGCACCACTGCTAGCTGGTAAAGCACATTCCGCTTATGTAGCCATGGATATTGATGACACTATGGACTATGCAAAAGTAAAGTGTGCTGTCTTGCAGAAATATGAAATAAGTGTTGACACCTATCGAATGAGGTTTCATTCTAGTACCTTTGGAGCAGAGGAAATACCAAGGGAGCTGCAGGTCCACCTAAAGGAGTTGTACATCAAGTGGATGAATCCTGAAACAAAGACAAAGGATCAAATTGGAGACACCATCATCATGGAACAGTTTCTCAAGGTTCTGAATCCTGATCTTCAGACATGGGTTAAGGAACGTAACCCAAAGACTTCCAAGGAAGCAGCAGAACTGGCTGAAGCTTTCTTAGCAGCTTGTCGACCATCAAAAGACTTCACGCCAGTTAAGTCAAATTCCAACATGCCATTGAACAAGTTAGGTGGTGGCACTGACTTGAAAGTTAAGCACACAAGACAGAACTGGTATAACTCTGATCCTGCCAGATCTGAGACAAAAAATAAAACCAATAAAGCATGTCATTTGTGTGGTCAAATAGGTCATCTTAAAGCTCAGTGTACAAAGATGTCTGTTAGTAAAAATTACATGTGTTCTGTTAGACAAACTGAAGTCAGTGAGAATCACAAAAATTAAATTGAATGTCAGCAACGTGAACCATCAATTGGGGTATTTGTTGAAGACAAACCCTGTGTAGCTCTGTTCGATTCAGGAAGTAATCGCTCTCTGGTTAGACAAGACAGTCTTCCTAGGGATGTGATCTTTTCAGGAGCAACAGTGGATGTGTGCTGTATTCATGGTGATAAGGTATCATACCCAGTTGCTGAAGTTGCAATTGAAGTAGAAGGCCAGTGTTACACTCTTTCAGCGGGAGTGCTGCAAACTCTGCCTTATCAAGTGGTGTTGGGCCGTGATCTCCCTGTACTCACAGAGCTAATAGCCAAGCATTCCTGTCAGACTGAAACCGTTGAAAGTCTGTTGGCAGTCACAAAGTCAAAAGCTAAGGAGCAACAGGTTAATGTTTTGGGCTGGAATGAATTACCTTTTGCAAATGAGGATGCACCATTGGACGAGTCTAGTACTCGTTCTAAACAAAAAGAGAGCAAGAGACAGAGAAGACATGAAAAGGTGAAGGGAACAAGAATAGCTGAACACATTTTAGATCCTTTAAAGACTGAGTCTCTCCCCAGTGCTAGTCTGGTTGCTAGGCTTCAGAAAGAGGATCTAACACTGAAACCATTGTTTTCTAAATGTGTTCCAGAGTCAACTACAGTTGAGGGAAGGCAGGAAGTGTTTGTGGTTAAGGGAGATTTGTTGCATCGACGTAGCAAGATTGGTGACCAGTTGGTGATCCCCCAGAGTTTGAGATCTACCATTTTGAAAATGAGTCATTCGATTCCCTGGGCAGGACATTTGGGACAATCTAAAACATTTTCTAGAATGATTCCCAGATTTTACTGGCCCCAACAGTTCAGTGATATGGTACAATACTGTAAAGCTTGCCCACAGTGCCAGTTAACAGCTCCAGGCAGGAAAGCAGATAGAGCTCCGCTTATCAGTATGCCCATCATTGATACACCCTTTTCACGCATTGCCATGGACATTGTTGGCCCACTAGAACAGAGTAAAGCAGGTCACAAGTACATACTTGTAGTTTGTGACTATGTCACAAAATATCCTGAAACTTTCCCCCTGAAGAAAATAAAGGCTCGTCAGATTGTTAACTGCCTGATTCAGTTGTTTTCCAGAGTAGGTATCCCAAAAGAAATCATCACAGATCAGGGTACAAATTTCACTTCCAAGATGCTCAAAGAAGTATACAGTTTGTTAGGGATCCAGGGTGTCAAGACCAGTCCCTATCACCCACAGACGGATGGCCTTGTGGAGTGATTTAACAAGACCTTAAAATCAATGCTCAGGAAATTTGTGAATGAAACAGGGTCAGATTGGGACCAATGGCTCCCATTTTTGTTATTTGCCTACCGAGAGGTTCCACAAAGTTCTACTGGGTTTTCACCATTCCAGCTACTTTATGGGCATCCTGTCAGAGGTCCAATGGATGTTCTGAAAGAAGCTTGGGAGGGTTCGATGTCAGAGCAGAGGTTTAGTGAACTCTCACATGTCCTCAAAATGAGAGACAAGCTAGAACATTTCCAAGAACTTGCTAATAACAATCTGGCCCATGCGCAACAGCAGCAAAAACAAAGATATGATAAAGTGTCAAGAAGAAGAGTCTTCCGTGAGGGACAGAAAGTTCTTCTACTGTTGCCAACTTCTGAGAGCAGTCTTCTTGCAAAGTGGCAGGGGCCATATGAAATCACAAAGAAGACAGGCCCAGTCACATATGAGCTTCATTTACCAGCTCGTCGAAAGAACCATCAAGTGTTCCACGTCAATCTTTTGAAAGAGTGGACTGACCAGCCACAGGACTCAACATCCATGTGGGCATGTACAGTTGTGGATGAGGAAGAGCCTCGGGAGCAGTACTTCCCTTCTTCACCTGTCAAAACTGTGTTTCCAGACTTAAACCATCTGCCTTTGGAAAGACGTCAGGAGGTGCAATCGCTTATGACCAAGGAACTCTTCAGTCTAAAGCCAGGTCGTACACACCTCATTGAACACAAAATCACTTTGCATTCTCCAGACCAACAGCCAATTAGAGATACCACTTGCCGTATCCTAGCTAAGCTATTGCCTGAGTTGAAAAGTGAGTTGGAGGAGATGCTGGCTGCAGGAATCATTGAGCCATCGCACAGTGAGTGGTGTAGCCCTGTTGTGCTTGTACCAAAGAAAGATGATCCTAAGCTTAGATTTTGTGTAAACTTTTCTAAGTTAAATTCTGTGTCTGCTTTTGATCGTTATCCAATGCCAAGGGTTGATGAACTAATTGATCATTTGGGAAATGCTAAATTTCTGACTACCCTTGACCTCTGTAAAGGTTATTGGCAGGTTCCCTTGACAGACTCATCTAAGGACTTAACAACATTCAGAGTGCCGAGTGGACTGTTTAGATTCACAGTGATGCCCTTTAGTTTGAATGGAGCACCAGCTACATTCCAAAGGTTGGTGGATCGAGTGTTGAAGGGTGCAGAACAATATGCAGCGGCCTACATTGATGACAGCGGCCCACTGTAAACAACAATGGTACATTGTTGTTTACAGTGGTACATGGGAAGATCATCTGAAACATCTTGCTGATGTGTTTCGACGTATCACGAATGCTGGACTTGTCATAAATGCCAAGAAATGTCACATCGCCAAGCCCGAGGTGCAGTACCTGGGTTATGTAATAGGGGGTGGAGGCATTCGCCCTCAGGTTGGGAAAGTGGATGCAGTTGCTGCAGCACTCTTGCCAAACACAAAGAAAAGGTTGAGATCATTTTTGGGATTAGTAGGTTGGTACCGTCGACTAATCAAGTGGTCAACTTTATTGACTGACATGACAAGAAAATCTAGTCCTACAAAGATCAGGTGGACGAAAGATGCTGAGAATGCATTTAATGATTTGAAAGACTGTTTGTGTCAGAAACCTGTTTTGCAGTGTCCAGATTTTAACCTTCCCTTCACAGTACAAACAGATGC